GGCGGCGTCCGGCTGCCCGGGGCCAACTCCGTCCCGACCCCCTCGCCCCAGACCCCGCCAGCCCCGCCAGCAGCGGCCGAGGAGGAAGGGAAGTTACCTCAGGGCGGTCCCGGCGGCGGCCAGTCGCGGGAGGCCGAGCGGGTCCGGGGCGGCGGCGGCGGCGGCGGCGGCGGCGGCGGCGGCGGCGGCTACCGCAGTGCCCTCCGCCCCATTGTTTCCCTTCCAGGAGGCTCCCGGCACAGCCGAGCCCGGGAACCAGGAAGTTCCCCGGCGCGACACCTCCTGCCGCCGCCGCTATGGAAACGGCCCCCGCCTTCCCCAGGGCGGCTCGCCCGGGACCCCGCCTCCGCGCCGCCGGCCCCGCCCGCCTGCCTCACCGGCCACCAACAGTCGCCGCTGCGGCCGCGGCCGCCGCCATCTTGGCGCGGGCGGGCGGCCCCTGCCTTCCCGGCGGCACGTGCGCTGCCCCCGCGCTCCCGCCGGGCGCGCTCCCGCCGGGCTGCGGGCGGAGGCCGAGCCCCCCGAGCCCCTCTGCGGGCAGCGGGGGCCCGCGGAGCCCGCAGCGCCCGGGCATTGCTCCAGAATGGACCAGTGCGGCGGCTGACCCCTAGGGGCGGGCGGCGGAGCAGGGGGCACGTACTGCATCTGCGGCCCCACTGCTCCCCGGCCTTCAGACCTTGCCCACAGCACTCGGGGTTTTTTCCTCTTCCACTCGGTATCTCCATCCGTGAAGCGAAGGTAACCGTACCTGCTTCATGGAGTTGCTCCCTGCACAAGTGATTGCTTAGTAACGTGGACACGCGGTGATAAGCTGTCAATAGCGTGGCGCCGTTACCGACACAAGGTCACACGCCAAGTGTTCAGATCAGCACGACTTGGAGTAGGCTACCGTGTGCGAGCCTTTTGCTGCCTAGGACGTGCTCAGGTGTTCACCTCTGTCCCATCTTGTTCTGGGTCAGCTTTCCTTCTGTGTGTGTCCTGGAAATTGTCAGGAGTTTTAATCTTCACAGTCTCCCGTGAAGGGCGGCTGTGAAAGGGGATGATGTAAACTTCCCAACACTATAATTTGTTGACAGTTTATTCAATAGAAGCTGCAAAAGTTTGGGTGTGCGAATAACTAAAAGGCTTCTGTCCTTGTTTCCAGGAACTAGAATTACTAAAGCTGGCAACTGCTCTGTTCCTACTCTCTCCCAAACTCGTGAAACCTGACTCATGATGCATGCTGTGTGCAAGGGACCCAAGTCCAGCCCCTTCCACCTGAGAGTTAATAGCTGGGTCTCAGATGGCCTCTAAGGCCGCTTCTATCTCGCATACGCTGTCTTTAACCCCTTTACAGTCTTGAGTGAAAGCTTGGAGTGGAACCCCAGGTGCACACACTTCCCTGGAGCAGCATTCATTGTTTAAAGACAATAAGATAATAAAAATGTATTCTTTCATGCAGGTCTTCATTTAAACCCGGTTTGGAAATACTGCTTTTGGTTGTTTTTGTTTGTTTGTCTTTTATTTTGTCTTTACTCTTTTGTATGTTCAAAATGACACAACTGGTTCGATGAAAATCAGGTCAAAAGTTGGAAGGACATGGGAGTTTTTTCATCACCCAAATTTTTCTCCAAAAGCTATAGAATTCCCAAATGAACAAGTCACCAAAGCATTCCCCATTTGTGACAAGACCCATCGCATCCATGTCTTTGCAGATAACACACACACACATGCATGTACATACATTGCAACCTGAAGATTGCAGAAGTCCCCCAAACAATGCTTACTAAATTAAACTGCAATGGCTGAGCTACCATCTCTTTACTGTACCTTGGGAACCCCACAGAGGCTCAAGAGAATTCATTCAGAAATATCACTGCAAATACAAAAACTTCGTCACTAATGAGTTGGAGGGACAATACTGGACACAAGCTTATTTCACAAGCTGAAGTAGAAATTTCAGATTCTTTGTGTGTGTGATCTATATTAGTCTAATAATACTGTATTCTGGACTTAACTTTCGGCACTATTGGCCTAACTGCAGACTTAGCACCCTGTACTATTATGGATATTCAGAAATATATTCAAGAATGAGGGTGACTGAATTTCACTAAAAACTTTTATTTGATTGTTGTTTTTTTTTTTATATAAATAGGAGCACTTGAGTCTTAGAGTAGTAATTTACCAACCCCTGCCCTAAAAACACATATTTAGATTACATTCACTCCATGATTATATTCTCTCTAACATGACATGCTAGATACAAAGATGCCCTTCAACTGGGTAGAATAAAAGTTTATTGACAATAAAATACCAAAAATAAACAGTTTGTATCTCCAATGAAAATATTTCACAAATGCCAAACATTTAGAATTCTCTCTCCTATCACATAATAGAAGAGACTGACATTTGCATTTTATTTTTGCAAGTTATGTTATACTAATAATACTTACACAATATTGCCAAAGGTAAAAGTATATGTTTAAATTTCCCACAAGATACCATAATAACTAGTGTCAAGAGTACAATTTGTGGTGAGAACATGAAAATATAGAACATGGAGAAATTTTCCAAAGTAAATTATCCATCTTTCACTTTCATCTTCAAAAATATGGATGAAAGGGGCTGTACTTAGAGTCTCCCATAAACTAACACTGTGCAGTGTGAATCCATGACAATGTAGTCCACTTGGGTTTGGAGAGAAGAATAAACACACCCCTCAGCGGGAGCTGGGGTGAAGGTTCTGGAAAAGCTCACATGATTCGTCTCATCACCTGCAGTAACTTCTGAAATTCCCTAGGAATGCTCTGTTAACTAGAAAAGTCAGTTCCAACCACTGTATATAATTCATCATGGTGAAAAAAATAAAAAAGCAGATCAGTCAACATCCATGGACCAGCTGTCAATGAAAAAGTCACATCTACATCTGCATGGCTCTTTTTTTTTTCAAACAAACAAACAAAAACCTTCAATTTAAATTAAGAGAAAGCATTCATGGCAGATCCAGAACAAAGATTCCATGGATGGATTGTCAATAGTAAAACTGCACATAAGACGTTGCATGCAAGTCGTTACAAGAACCTAGGGTGGTCATACTTATTGGTGTTCTAGGGTATTTGAGAGGTCATGTGCCATGAGATTGGGGAACTTGTCTGTCTTCCATTCTGTTCTGTTCTCTGGCCAGTCAGTTCCCTTTGAATGTATATACAAAGAATAAAGAGGGAAGAAAGCGTAAGGAAAGACTATTAGGAGTAAACCCACAAAGGTGTATCAAAATCCATTTTTTGTAATGTATAAACAGAAGTTTCTAATTTTTTCACATGCTCAAACAGATCTGTGACTCAAAAAAAAAAAAAAAGGTTTTAGAATGACTCATTTTCAATTACAGAAGTTGCCTCTCACTATCTCCCCTGCTCTTTGCTCACAGGCTGCTCCTGATTACATAGTAAAACAGTTTTCATGGCCTGCCAGAAATCTATAATGAGGCTGTATCATCTTTCAGATGTATCATTTTGTCTTCATAGCTCCAGAGGACTCTCTGTCTGAGTTTTCGTCAGCCATACTTCAGCTTTCCTCCAACCGCCTCTCAAATGCCATGCCATTATTTTTATTGCAGGTATTTATCCACTGTGGGCTGGTGGCTGGGTGAGAGCACAAGCGTGGCGCTCAGAGGTCAACTTTCAGGAGTCAGTTGTCGTCCTCTACCATGTAGGCCCCAGGATTGAACCAGATCATCAGGAGTGACAGCAAGTGCCTTAACCTGAGGAGCCATCTCACCAACCCCATTATGTAGTTTTTAAGTTTCATTAGATGGATAAAATTTAAATATTAAAAATGCACACATACATAAGGTATTAAAATATTATTTCATGGCATTTTGTCTCTATTTTAGAGCATAAAGCATTAGCCTCAATGAACATGATTTTTTTTTTTTTAATTAGCTTTTAAACTCTATGTATGTTGTATGGTAGTTAGATTTCCCAGGAAAACTCTCAGTGAGCCTTGCCTACCAATAGCACACAATTAGTCATCTTCCTTTTATATCCTCAATGGTGCTGTGACTCACTTCTATCCCCCCAAAAACATTTGGTGGAAATGAGGTATAGCGATTTCTAAGATGAGAACAGAAGAAGCCTCGGAGTTTCTACCTGAGTCTCTGAAATCCTCTCATACTTTCTCTCAAAATTCAAATTCTGTCAGAGAAGAAACCAAGGCAGCTTGCAGAGGCCGTACCTGATAGCCAGCCTCACCTGAGCCCACAGCCCACAGCAATCAACCTCAGCTGCTGGCCACATGGGTGAGGCAGCTAGCCATTGCCTGCCTGGAGTGCCAGCCCAACAACACCCTGAGAAACCCTGAGTGGTGACCTTTCAGATGAGCTCTGGCAGCCAGAGAACCATAGTAATAAACTGCTGCCTTTAGCAATGGAGTTTAGTGGGTTTTTTGTCACAAACCTGAAGGAGAAGTGCAAATAAATTTATCAATAGTAAAGTTCTGGCCTGGGGAAATTGCTCAGTCAGCAACGTGCTTGCCATAAAAGTGTGAAAACCCAAGTTCAGTCCTTAGAAGCCATGTGAAAAGCCAGGCATGGTGGCACACATTTAGTCTAAGTACTGGGAGGGAGAGATGGGCAGATGACTGGGGCTTTCTGGCCAGCCAGTTTAGCCCAATCAGGGAGCTCCAGTAAAATCTGAGACTCTCTCTCCAAAATAACAAGGTGAACAGCTCTTAAGTGACATCCAAAGTTAACCTCTGGCCTCCACACACTCACAAACTGTGTATGAGTCCCCCACATACACACGCACCCACAAGCAAACACATACGCATGCACACACACACACAAAGAATAAAGGTCTAAAGCTGTATTTAGCCATATTCCACTATAGTGTTAATAACAAAATTGATATAATCAAAATTAGCAGAAGCACCGTGGACATAGGTCAAGCGATGAAAATAGAGTAAATTAATAGCAGATTCTAGTGAGTCCAAGGGCACCTTCTTTTACTGAGAAGTTTCTAATTCTGTCTGGTTCTCTGCCTTGAGGTGGGATAATACATGATTGGATTCTGTGAAGCGACATGATGACCTTGATCAAAGTAAATACCCAGTACTTTCGATTACATTTGACTCAGATGTGAAATAAGTCCTTGACAACCCACTCTGAGTAAAAAAGAAAAGACATTAGAGTCTCAAGCAGCCAAACTCAGACTCTTGAAAATGAGGCTAGAGAAGGGGGAAAAATGACTTTTTAATCTGCCTAGCTTATTCTTTCTGTTTGATAAT